CTGTTTTCAGCCTCCCCAGCAACTGAGATTACAGGTGTATACCACCATGCCAGATCGAACCCCGGTCCCTGTGTTTGCCTACGCAGGTGCTTAGTCCACTGAGCTATCTCGCCAGCCCTTATATGCCTTCTTTGAAGGTTCAAAATGTGTAAACATTTGAAACTCAAAGCATTTAAGCATTACACAAAAAATTTATTGATGGTGAAAGTTATTTTTTACATCTTACCAAAATATTATGTCTCTTATACTCTATTCACTTCAAGAGTATCTTTAGGTAGAATGTGAACCAGGCTGCTTTCTTTGGAGGAGAGGAACAGAAATAGGCTTAGGACCCACACCCTGGTCATGACTATTTGTGTTGATTTATTAACTTGCTTTTTAAATTTGACCTGGGGCCTAGCTAAGTCTCTTAGTTACCCAGGCAGGACCCAGTTTTGGTATTTTCCTGCTTCAGCCTCCATTGCCATGTTTTTAACAGAAGAATTATTGATATCTACTAAATTTTCACCACAAAAGTTCTGCTGCTTGGAACTGACTGGAAGACATGAAATCATGAATGTTTATTTCTTTGAAAACATTGCAGAAATTATTGTTATGGAAATGACAGAGATCTGACATATTTACCCACGCCTAATGACTTAGATTTTGTATAAACCTCTACTTATCGAGAGAATTCAACAAATAAATAAGTATCACTCTATGACTTATCTGAGAGCATCATCTTTTAAAAACATACAAGTTCAGGTTTGAAATAAATGGTGACCTCAGTTAGCTGCTTTTCAGAAAAAAAGTAGCTTTCAGGCATTTTTATGACTAGAATTAATGATGTCGGGATTCAATATTTTGAAGGCATACTTCAGTTTTGAAAACTGTTTTGGATCACTTAAATCTACCTGTGGGTCACAATACTGGTTATAAGCCAAGAGAAACTAAAAAATCAATGAGACATTTCTCCTGTAGGAATAAAAATGAGGGCTCATGATATACCAAGTAGTATTGAATGTTTGGCATATTCATTTTATAATTATTTCTCATTTCTAAATAAGAAATCATCTACTCACAGAACTTTTATAATGTGCCTAATTTTGTGCAGCAAACAAAATTCCAGACTAATACCGGCTTAGGTTTTCAAAGAGAAATTCCATAAATTATTTTCTTCATTAATGTTTTTTCCTTCACAATTTCTGTTATGACAATTTGTATTATATTAATCATAGGTCAAGTCAGTATTAAATGAACTCTGTTTAAACTTACTTTTCAAAAATATCTGTGGACCCAACTATTCCTCAGACATATTTAAATTATTCTAATGTAGAAAATCAACAAAACCTACAATGAAAATGAAGTCTGAAACAATTGCTTATTATAGCTAAATATTAAATCACTTGATAGCTCTTTCATTAATTCCATATGGATACATTAAGATTAATTAAAAAATAAACAGATGTCCATGGGAAAATTAAGAAAATATTTGGATGCATGTAAGTTTTAGTATGCTTAGAAAGGACTAATAAGATCATATAGAACCTATTAAAGTTATTTATCTGGTATAACAACATTCATCCCAATGATTTTATTTATGAAAGTGATATGAAGCTCTAAAACACAACTTAGAATGGTTATCCTGTGCAGTTCAGTAAGACACAGACTCACCCAAATATCATGTATCACTGAACACTATCAAGCTCATAAATCTAAGGTAAAGCTGTTCAGAGGCTTTAGTAGACAAAATGAAATTATTACAGACAGTTTGTATCAATTAAGAAAGTTCAAGCAGTTATTTAAATACTTGAGGCTACCCATTAGCCTTCAAACATCAAAGAAATCAGCAGAGTATAATTACAGACAGCTTGATGATTGACACTTAAATTTATAAAGGGTTAAGAATGCCCTGCAGATCTCAATGGAGCAAATAGCTCCTTTACCAACTCACCAGTGGTATCTTTGTGTGTGTGTGTGTGTGTGTGTGTGTGTGTGTGTGTATACATATCTGATTTATTTCACTGAAGAGTATGAGCTATAGTTGTATCTATTTACTGACAAAAATCTATCTTGACACAGTCACTGGGAAGAGCTAATTGGTGCTTACAAATGCAGTATTTGAAAAGTAAGATTTAAAACAGTAGCTATGACTTGAGAAACAATAACCATGAATAAGTATAAGATATTATCATCTGTGAACAATTCAGTTAGTTTCTAACAACAAATACATCCATGATATGCAAATTTTTTTAAAAATTGGAGAAAGCTGTAAATCTTAAATTCAGTCTGAGAAAAGTGTTAACAAATACATTCTGTGTCAGAAATTTCTTTTCTGTACATGCATTTTAACTCATTTAATTGTGCTTCCAAATATTACCTCACAGAAGCCAATTAAGACTCTTAAGTATTGAGAATGTAAATCCTTGTACCCATCT